ATTGCTGCAAACCTTCATTTGTAAAAAATGCAGTATCGTTGACGCTCAATAAAGCAACACACAATAAAATGAGGTATGCCTGTACACAAAAATTGTATAAAGGATCTTATATTTACAGTATGGAAAAAGGAGAAGGAAACTAAGAGCATACTTACCCCGGTCTGGAACATGGAGAAGGCTTTTTCAGAGGTGGTGGCATTTAAAGTAGGTCTTAAGAGATGAGTAGAAGTTATTCTGTAAAGGTCCTTGAGAGTTAGGGTGGAAAAAGAGTGCCAAGGCGCTGCACTCAGATGGATCTTTGCATGTTTGAGGCCCTGGTATGTCTGGAGTTTAAGGAGGGAGAGGAAAAGCAGTCATTGAAAGGGACCGGGTTGTGCTGGGCCTTTAGGCTACATTAAGAATTTGAGATTAGATTCTAAGAGCAAAGGTAAACCTTGTAAAGCCTCTTTCAGGAATGTGACACTATCAAACACTGTTGCTTGAAAGAAAAAAGATATCACTGTGGCAAGTAGTATGAAAAATGGAGAGTGGGAGGTCTAAAATGGCCATCAAAAGAAAGACCATTTGAGGTGACAGATGGAGCTGTCCAGACAAGATAGGGCAGTTGCTGTGACCAGGGTGTTGTCAGGGAAAGTGGAAGGAGTAGGTGGCATCATTTACTAAGTCAAGGAAAATTGGAGCAAAGCAGATCTGCAGGATGATCAAGGGGATTAGAGGGGATGCAGCTAAGTGGCTGAGGTATTCACACTGAAATGTGAAGCAGGTAGGTGGAGCTTAGAAAATAAAAATTGGTAGTTATCAGGGTATATAAATGAACTGAAGTGCATGTGACTAGATAAGTTTGCTAAAGACAGAGGACTATAAAAGGGAAAGAAAAGAGGACCGAGGACTGAACCCAAGGGCCTCTCAGCATTGTCAATCGAAAAGAATGCTGGAGAATATATTAAACAGGGGCACTCACTCTGTCAAAAGCAGGAGCTTCTCTGGATTTGGAACGGGATGATTTGCAATGGCTGATTTGAATCCTTACCTAGTAACCACTGATGACCTTCCCCTTCTCTTTACCCTTCACTTTCAAGTTCCTTCTCTTCATCCCTTCTCTTCCTCAGCATTGCAGCCTCACCTTATCACCCTCTTTTCTGCTCCTAGTTCAGAAAAAACATTTCTTCCTTACTCTCTGGCAAGTGTTAGATGATCTGACTTTAGTCCACTTGTCCCCACTCTTGCAATTTAGCACCCAACTTCAGTGTTTGCCGAAATTTATCTATGTCAGATAAGCCCTCGAGGCACCTTTAGAAACAAGTGGGAGGCACTCAAAGCTCCTAACTAGGATGCAGATTAGTTTGCTGATTTTTGGTCCTGGAGTTGAGTCAGGATCCAAAAGGAGAGAAATGCTAACCCTTTCAGGACCCGCAAGTCCAGGCAGTCTACGAAATATCCATGAACGTAACTGTAAAAGTAGTTCAGTGTATTCTCCGACAACAGAAAAGTACATTTTCAGGGGGAAAAGAATTAAGGCTGTTTCTTAGCACAATCAGAGTCCTTTTATCAGCGTGAAGCCAACTTTAAAATACAAGGATTCTTAGATATAGTAACCCCTAGAAATTTTTTATTTTAAACCTTTCTGTTTCTCACCCTTCTGGCTCTGAAGATAACCTTCAGAATGTAAATTAATGCAGCAAGGGTTGGAGCCCTGAACCAAAAATTCTGATGCAATATCTCAAAAAATGTTGCAGCTTCTTTTTTCCATACCAATCGCTAAGAACATAAGATGTAATAGCAGTCAGGTTTTGTTAGACATTAACTCAGTACTTGCCTTGAGAGTTTTAAGCTCCTCTACCAGTTAAAAAGCACCACGTAGGCTGTTCTACAAATGCCTCGTCTTTTCTGGCATTTGACTGAAGGTTTCAGGGGCCAGTGTATCTTATGCACTTCAACTACGCAAAACAGAATAAAGGGCTGCGTAGTTCTGCCTCTTAGAAGAAATAATGGGCTTGCAGGCATTTTTAGGTTCAGTTCCATTTACAAGTAATTATTTAAGACCTTGTATGTGCCAAGATCTGAATTAAGTATGAAAATATAAGACAAATTCATTATCCTCAAGGGGCTCACTGTCCAGTAAGGATGGGTGGGAGAGATTTGGAAAAATAATTACCATATGTATTATAAAAGCAGTATAATATATAAGCTCAGAAGTAGGAATGGCCCTGCTTTACTACATCATCATTATTATTATTATTATTATTATTTGTTCGAGGGAGGTAATTAGGTTTATTTATTATTTATTTATTTATTTATTTATTTATTTATCTTTAATGGAGGTACTGGGAATTGAACCCAGGACCTCACGCATGCTAAGCATCACTCTATCACTGAGCCATACCCTCTCCCTATTATTTTTTTTAATAATGAATTCCTTCTCAACAGTGGTTACCATTGACTACATATTTTTCGTGTGTGAGTACCTTCCGAAGTGTGTTACACACTTTATCTCAGTTAATCCACACAATAACTCATGAGGTAGGTACCCGTTTTATAGATGAGGAAACCGGCTGAGGGGAGTTATGTAATTTTGTCCCAAATCTCACAGTCACTAAATAGAGAAGGAGGAATTCAACCACTACTCTGTCTGATTTGAACTGTTTTGCCTTTTAACTACAGTTGCCTTAACTGTTTTGCAAACTTGCTTCCCCAGAAAGGTGAATGTCTACATGGGATCTCGGAGATGTAAATTCCAGAAAGACAGTCTCAGAAATTTCAGGGAACTGGAGATTCTTAGGAATTTTTCTTTTTTGCTTCATGCACTAGAGATTTCATAGCAACAGGCTTATTATGAGCATAACTAATGACCCTACACTGACAACAGCAAGGAAAGATTTAAGATTTTTAAAAGGAACTATTTCATTGTAGTCTATTGATAGCTCCCCTCCCCCACACCCACCACTGCCATGTAGGAATATAAACGACTACGTACAAAGTCATAAAAACAAATAGAAAATATTTGTCATGTTTTCTACTGCTAGATGTTCTAAATGTTGCTGTACAATGAATTAAACCAGTTTTGTTTTTCCCTCTTCTAGAAGGTACTGTTGTAAATAGCATTCGGGTTTTCTTGGTAGTTGGTTTATTTTAAATAGAACATTGAAAAGTAACATGCACCAGAATCATACGTTTTAGGGTGGTTGATTCAATTTACTCAAATATAATGGAAAAATGTGTTCATTTATATTTTAAAAATATCAATAGATTTAGAGAAAAAGGAAAATACAGCTAAAAACTGTAAAAAAAATCTTAGTGAATTTTCAGAAGCTAGAATTGTAATACTGTATTACTGTCTTTGAAACAACATATTTATTTAAGTAGATATTATTTACCATTTTAGTATTAACTCCAATATGATTTTTAAAGACATGTAAATATTAATATATTTTAATATCAGACATTCTTACATTTGGTGAGAGTTAAAAGTTCATTACTTTTATTATCCCTTAAAAGTCCAAATCTACTAACTATAAACATTACTTATCTATTTCATAACATTTAGCATTTTTAGTAACTTTGCTTTAAGATGGATGGATGAAATTCTTATTTTATACACAGATTACCTCATTCTCTACATTTTCCTTAAATAAAAATGTGATTTTGGCCTGACAAATAGAAGGAAATTCTCATTATTACAGTATTACTTTTTTTTCTATTTCCACTTGTGTTATTCTTTTATAGTTGAGGTAAAATGCTGAGTTAAATTTTGCATCAAATTGCATTACACATGTCAGTAATTTCCTCTTTGCCTCCACAACCACTTTCAAGGGACCTACCCAGCCCCTAGCTCTAGATTGAGGACTCCTTTGAACTATGTGGCCTTCATCCTCAAGCCCCTTCCCCCTTTCTACTCCTACTTTGGATAACTTACCAAGGGGACTGGGAATGTATCCCTGAGCTCTGTTGGTCCCTCAGATCTGGACTAAAGAGCTGAGATATTTGTGGGCAGCAGAGCTAGAAGTCCCTGTGCATTCTGGTGTTAAGTTCTCTATTTCTGGAACTTCAGGCCCGTAAGAGGCTACACGGAAAACCTGGAATAAATGAGCGAAGCAACAAATTGATTTAGAGTGAAAAAGACACACAAATGCACAAAGACACATAGAATATAAGAGACATGTCCTTTCCATCCACCCTGTAGCACCCCACCACAACACTCACACACATATGTAGTGCCAGACAACCTCCAAGATTTCTGGAGAGCCTGCTGTAATTCTTACAGTGAGACTGGTTAAGGATGAAATAAAACCAGCTTTTATTTGGACTATACTGAGTGGGTGTTTCTGCCTTATGATCAAGTGGACCCTAAGACAGACGCAGAATGATTCTTTGTCTTCAGTCTTGAACGAGAGAGGCTGCTGTATCAGCCAAAGCCTTATGATCAAGTGGACCCTAAGACAGACACAGAATGATTCTTTGTCTTCAGTCTTGAACGAGAGAGGCTGCTGTATCAGCCAAAGAGTGTTAGCTATGTACTTAAAGCTAATAAACTCCATGCAGTAAATGTATGTTGCTTTCTCCTGTCCAGTGCCCAGTTTTCTTCTGATAATTGCCATTCTTTTAATAGAAACACTTTGGTTTTTCCCTTGGGCAAGTACCTCTTCTTAGTTCTTAACTCCTATCATTTGTAGAGAACTGATCCCTATGTCCAGACTGGTTCAGAAATTTGTCCACTAGTCAAGTTGGGGACATGGTGGTCAATTCCAGAAATGTGCTAGAATGTATAATTGGGAAGAAGAATTCAAGGGGAGTGTAAACCTGGAGGTGCTAAGATCCACCACATGGAAAGAACCCATCAAATGATGAAGGCAGAACAGAGAAATGCTGTGCAAAATAAGAAGGGATTGGCCCTTGACATCATTGTTTGAACCCCTGGACCCTGCTCTGTCAGAAGGAAGAATTATCATCAACCTTCTCAGATTTTGAAGACAGTAACATTCCCCTTCCTTTTTGTCCCGTAGGGCAGTATGAATTGTCTCTGTCACATGCAGCTCACAACCGTTGACTAAAATACTTTGTGAAAATCACCTGGAAAATAGAAGGCCTGAAACCTGCTCTCATAAGTAATTTGCTGTAAGTAAGATAAAGAAGATTAATAGGCATGTAATAATTTGGAAACAATATAAACTGTCATGTGAAATGTCAGATTATGAAATAGTCTAAAAATTATCTCGTGAGATGCTGGTTGTAAAGACAGTTTAGAATCTCCATTCAATATGTAAAATCTGTACTGTATTCAATCTTGAATTACCTATTTGCTGTTGAAAGATTACCCCATCTTCATAGTCAACAGATATGAAGACCAAGTAAGTACCTGTATTTTGCTTCAACTATCATAAGGAAATCTGAAGAAAATCATAAGAAAAGCATTTGTATTTTATACTAGACAAAACAAACATACTAAGAAATCATAAGAAAAACAAGCAACACTTCCACCAACAGTAACAAATAAAGCAAAAACTAAATCAAACCTAAACTAGAGAGAAGAAAGATGTTTTTACTATTGATTATGTTAAGGTTTTGCTTGATTCTTAATTGTCACTTGGAACTCTCTAATCTATTTTATTGTCTACCACCTCTGACCTGGAAACTAAATATATGTCAGTTCTCACAAATGCCAATTTACTTTATCCGTTTTTATGTACACAGGTAGGCTGGTGTAGCAGATGTGGAAAAAAGAACAAAAGCAAGCCTCACTGAGCCCAAGAATGTCTCAGAGGTCCATGAATGGGCTTCAGGGGCATCTGTGATTCTCTAGAAATTGTCAAAATTTGTGTGAATGTGCATTTTTTTTTTTTGCCCCAGAGAATCTTTAACTTTCACCAATTTCTCAAAGGCATCTATGATACAGAAAATGTTATAATTTTCTATGATTCTAGGGCAATTTATAAGAAATTATTTATCTTAACTATATATTGATTTTTGCTATCATATTAGATGTTATTGGCGTTCTGAAGTAGACTATGAGCAATGCTAGAGTCCTAAGTAAATCTTAGAATTAAATACATTTTTTCTACATAAAATATACTCATGTGAGCTTCAGTCATGTAATAGTTCTTTCTGAATATTTAGCTTAAGATATATAGTCATTACTATCTGTACCAAATTATATTTTGACCAATTCACATTTATCAACTATTTCTGCTCCTTTGTGAATGTTAACTCTATGCTGTTTGCCTTCCTCCATTTTCAAGGAACACGTCGTCACACAGCGCCTGTCCTTTACATTGTTTTTAGCTCTTTCACTAGCAAAGGTCTATCTCTTTTTTAAATTTCCAGTTTGAAAAACCCAAGGAAAATATTTGGTTGATCTCACATGCCCACTCTTGTTTCCCTGTGGTGGAAGCAGTAGATAATGTGGTTAGCAGATGCTATGAAGTATGTTTAGAGTGAGGAGTTGGAATGAAAGAGCACACCCCAGCCCCCACCCCAAGAGCCTGCTATTCTCAGGAGATAAGAAGGATGATGAGAAAATTAAATTATAAATATTGGCTAGGGACATGTATTCCAGGAATGTGAAATACGGTAGGCACATATGAAATAGCCTGGAAATGTGCGAATTCCACCAGAGCAGTAGCGTTCACTGTGGGATGTAAGAAGTATAGCTAATAGAAGTAGGCGGGGGCTGGATATGGAGGACTGTATCTGCTGTGATAAGGAACTGAAATTTTATCCCACACACCTGTGTGTAATAAATATTGCGTTGGCATCAGAGAATGGAGGGGGATTTGTTAAAAATGCAGATTTACAGACTCAACACTAGACAACAAAGACTCCACATCCCTGGGGGCTTGAGGACCTGCATTTAAAAAAAAAAAAAAGCACCCCAGAGAGTCACTGTCAAGGAGAATAGAAAACTAGTGAAGAAACAAAATGGCACAGCTAAAACATCTGTTAATGTGGCTACACACTGCAGCTTAATTAGGTTTTGTACTGTATGGTCGTGTGTATATTTGGGGCATAGAGGGATGTGCCTCCTGTGTGTACATCTCCAAGTGATTTTTGCCTAGCTGAACATTTCAATACCATGGGCACTAGCATAGACTTTCAAAACTGAAGATGCTGGTGAAATACCCTTACTTTAGCCCACTCAAATGAAGCTTTAAGACTCTGGAAAACCTTGTCTCCCTGTAAGGATGAAAGTTCTCTCTTTCAAAGAAGGTGCAGAGATTCTAAATGACACATTAGTGAAGGGGACTGTAACCTTTCTTTAATTGGAAAAATTCAAGTGTTAAGTAAATATCCAGTTTGCCGGGGTGTTCTAACTACCTTCTCCAGTCAGTTTTGTCTCTCAGCATCTATTAAATTAGGGAAAGGTTTATGCCACAGTGGTTCTTGCCTGCCAAAGCAGAGAAGATGGATGGGGCCCAAGAAGGAGGACAAAGAATTACATCAGGGTCTTTGGAAATTAGTTTCACTAGTCTGGGGTGGATTTGGGATTTCTTAACAAACTGTCTTCTCTTCTAGTCTAATCAAAGTGATTTTTCTAACCTTTTCAGGCAATCTCCTCTGCCAGCTACAATCTTGCAAGAGGATAATATTTTCCATAAGAGTTACACACACAACAAAGACACACACACAGACACAAACACACACCACACACACACACTGCATTTTTTTTTTTTTGCTGAAATAAGCATGTATGGTTTAATGATTAAATAGCTCAAGCGTGACCTATGAAAGAAAGTTTAGATGTGTGGCTTCCTTCGTGTGTTTTTAGTTTAATTTCTATTTTTTATTAAAATTATTTTAATTTTTTTCAAGACCTAGTTTAAAGACTCGTAAAGTCCTACAAGTTTACAGGGCTTTTGGAAGAATATCTGCACCCAGTTTCTTCTGCCCATTTCTTACATTCCAAGGGCAACTATTTTCAGCATCCTCTTATGGAAAGCACCTCCACATTTCTGAATTATGGGTTATGGTACTACTCATTGATTTTTTTCCATTTTAACAGTATCTATTCACTTCTCACTAAGGAGGAGGAAAGTTTACCTTTCTGTCATCACCCCTCCTATCACAGGCATGCGTAAAAATATAACCTCTCTTTCACCCAACATAGTTAAATAATTATTTTGGGTAGAATATTCCAACCATTATTCCTTTGTTGCATAACTTCCTTGTTCTCTTTAATTGCTAATTGTTCTTTTAAAAATTAATATATATTATATGTATTTAACCAATTCTCCTACATTTTTCTAAGTCTCCTTTCAATCAGTTCAAACATGTGGGGTATTCTGTCCATCTTCTTGAAAGAATAGTAGCTCTCAGAGCCTCTCTGACCCGCTTCAATCTGTTCAGCTGTACAACTCTCAGATGGAACTTTCTCTTCATTATCATCTTTGACAAGGGGATTCCCTTCATCTCTCGCTTAGATTGGCTGCTATGTTTTCTGGATCCTATGATTTTCTTATTTTGGTGGAGTATGTCCTCTAGTAATTTTTTTGAAAAATGGTGTGTAAGATATTTTTGGAGATCTTGAATGTCTGAAAATATTGTCAATGTACCCACAGTTGAGAATTCAGTTGGGAATAAAATTCAATGTTGGAAATGATTTTCGCTTAAAATTTTGAAGGCGTTTCTTCTTGCTTTCCAGTGCTGATTTTGAGAAGTCCATCTTAAACATGAAGTTAATAAGTAACCTGTTTTTGTCCCCCTGTATGCTATTTGTATCTTTTCTTCGTCGCTAGTATTGTGAAATTTCAAAGTGTGACTTGATTAAAAAAAAATTTTTTTTTCTCAAAAGTTGATTGGCTCTTTCAATTTGAAACTCAAATCTTTCAGTTCTGGAAAGTTTTCTTGAATTATTTTATGCTTATATTGCTCTCTTCTGCTTGTCTGTTCTTTCTCCATTTCTACTGCTTGAATGTTGGATTTCATGAAGTTATTTTCTAATTTTAAAAATATTTTTCCCTCAAGTTTCTACCTGTGGGATATTTCATCAACATTAGTGTTCAGTTTTTTATTGGGCCTTTCACTTCTGTTATCATAGTTTTGGTATTCAAGGGTTTTTTTCCCTTGATCTTTGATTGCTCTTTTTAAAAAAAATAGCATTCTGTTCTTTTTTCATGAATGCTGTATGTTTTTATCTCTTTGAGGATACTAACGATAGTTTTTGAAAGTGTTTGTTTCTCTACATAGTTCTGTTCCCTTCCAATGGTCCTTCTTCAATTTATGTGTTTTGGTCTATATATTTTATATTTGAAACTTTTCTCAGATGTTTGATGATTTTTCCCTGTCTGTTCACATTTAAGAGTGTAACATTAAAACACTGATTGGAGGATCTGTGTGTGTGTGTGTGTGTGTGTGGTTAAATGTGGGCTTCATTGTAGGGTAATATACTGGGGGTATTTAATTGAGGAATATGTCATATTGGAAAGTGTAGGTCTTATTCCTTGGGTTGGTTGGGTCACTCAATGAAGAATCCTCCTGTTTCCTGTCTTGATGATGTAATGGCTTCCAATACTCCAGAAGCTGAGTTGGGGAGGTGGCTGTGCATTTTAGTGTTTCCATGAACTCATGGTTCTTTTTTTGTTTGATTTGTATTTTTAGTGGAGGAACTAGGGGTTGAACTCAGGACCTAAGTACATGCTCTACCACTGAGCTATACCCCTTCCCCTCAAGTGTTTCCTTGAAAACTTTTACTCAATCCCTTGGTTTTCCTTATTCCTGCCTTTTATTCTGACCTATCCAGAGGCTCAGTTTTACCTTTACATAATATGAACTTTCACTTTTTTGTTAGGTTTGGAAGGAATCTACAATTTAATTCATTCCTAAGCAGATTTTATACCTATTCTCCAGTTTTTAGCCTTTTATTTTTACATTCACTTCTAGGAGTAATTGCACAAACAACATATGTGTCTTTTGAGGGATTTTTCCGTCCAAATCAGGTTGCATCTGCTCTTTCTCACTCTTGGTTTAGGACTCAGTTTTCTTGTGTGTGCCA